ATAAGACCAATGCGAGGTCGAAACTGCAGTCCACTTCAGCCCGGATGAGAACAACTTTTGGGAAAGCAAGTCTATGTGAAATTTAATAGGAAAGTCAGCTCAACCCATATTATTGTGGGAAAATTCTACAACCAGTCCTTCATCACCTTAGACGAAATAGGGTGATTTACCGGTAGTCACGAAAACAATACTTAATTCGAAGAAATAAAGTATAGTAGTCGATTTTTCAACTCATATCATTGTCGGAAAATTCTACTACCAGTCCTTCATCAGCTTAGACTAAAATAGGGTGAATACATCTCATATAATAACTTGTGTTTCCCCATTACGTTTGACTACGTTACTTATATTCATATAAAGTAGGCTTCGAAACTATCAATTAATCTTTAACCCATTTGGTATGCTTAAATCACTCGGTTGACTTCTTAAATACCGTTTTTTTGTAGCCTAGTCGCGCCAAATCGCCAGCTCCTCACTTCCCGTTTCTCGACGCCATTTGCCGCCTCAACTGTACCTCCTCCTCCGCATCGACAACAGCCCATCACGCCTGCCCATCTTGTTATGCCCATCTTCTGTCCGAGTGGTTCGAGTATGAATCTCGCTCTACACCCACTCTCTTGCGTCGGTTCACCTGTCGAGTTGCGGCTATCTCTCCCGACTTGTCAGCTCCTCTGCTCTGCATCATCTGCCAGCGGACTCGGCTGGCTTGGCCGTTTCAGTCGGACTCATGCTTCAACCAGACGGACCGAGGCGTTCTGGTCTCTTGGGCTGAGCCGGAGTCGCTTTCCAGACCGTCCGGAGGGGAGAGTCCCTACAGCATCGCCGCCAAGTCGTTGACCTGGTTGGCGTGTCTTTTGCCTCTGCGAATGGAGATCCCCGCAGGATCGCCGATTGGCAAAGACTGTCTCGGACCTGTATCGCCCATCATCTATCCCTGGTTCGTGGACATACAGCGACGCATGTTGCGGATATGCTGTGCCTGTGCCAGCATCCACCTACCATTCCACTTATCCGACCAAGAAGGTATGATTTTTGTTCACCTACCTCATTACCCCATTACATTATTGCTATACAAATGGTCAACTTTGAATCACTTTTTGAATGCTGTCATTATTTCTTATCGCTGTGATTGCAGGTTTATTTCGGTATGTGTCGTAATTAGTATGTCCGGTTTAAAGGAAAGAGATTGTGGATAGGGGCGCGACCGTAGGTGGTAATATTTGCAATACACGTTCATCATGACCGTATTTACTGTCAACGTACTTGACACTGTTTTTTTTGAATGTCAGTCTCTCATCACCAAATCAACATACAGACAAAGTCCATCCGATTGACTGCGGTACAGTTGGCGCTGTTGCTGTACCTCTTCCCGTTGTCTAACGCCTTCTCTAAGCCTCATTTAGTTGATTTTGTCTCTTTGTGCAATGGCTGTTGTCCTGTACATTTACTTGCGTCTGTTGACTTTTGAGACAAGCCATGTTTTCCAAAAATCTCATGCTGGCAACCATATCTTCCCTACTCATATTCAATTGAATTATCGTTCGAAACTTGCGGCCTACTGTTCTCCTTGTGGAACAAACTCCCATATTAGTCTATAAATGACTAGAAACAACTTAGGATGATTGAGTTGCTATTCGAGAAGTACGATTGGCTTTGGAATATGGCCTCATTGTGAATATGATTGTGATTGATGGCTTATCTGGACGATCACAAATTGGATTTCAATTGCCTATTCGTTTATACGAACAGTAGAATGGTTTTGAGTAGTTTCTTGCAATAAATTGTTTGTGTAGACTTTCATTTCGTATTGAAGTGCAAGGAAGCCGACGTCTGTTTTTGGTTGTTCTGTATCCGTTTGGTTGAAGCACTCCACACACGTCCTCCCTTGTTCCAGGTGTAAACGAACTGGGTTTTCATCCGTCATGTCGCCAGCTAGGATTCATTCTTTTATAAGCTTCAAGTTAACAATAAATCAAAAAAAAAATATATGTATATATATACTTTTAACTAAAAACGTAGATATTAAATAAGCTTGATATAGAATAATTTGATGAATTCTCTTTTATATAATTGGGATGCTTCTACTAAGATGTATGATCTGTAGGCATGTGAGTGTGTCAACGCCTGTTAACACGCGTACAGATGTTAAAATACACACACAAACATACACCCAAGTATAGGAAAAAGAACTGACCAAATCA